GATTTGTGGAGCATTATTACTAAAATTGCTGAATGATTCGTGATAAAAGGATTACAAATCTATTGAATAAAGTATCTTCGATTGATCGACGAACAAGCTATCGTCAGGAAGAGGATGATCTACTAAGAGATGAGTTGCCACCTCTTGATAATGTATCGGATGTGAGGAAGAGCCTCTTCTTACTACGTGGACATGAAGATGAAGCTCCTTGACACATGTCTCACCTCTATCCAACTCCTCTTTGTCAGGTGACAATTGTCAAAGAGCTGCAAAGTCACCATTTTTTCGCTTTGCTGGGTGACAGGCACCGAAGATAATTCGACGACCCATTTTATTGATCTCTAGACTTCGCAAGGAGATCTAGAGATTGCCCACATCGTCTTTGTTCAAAGAGAGCCCTCGAAGCTATGGACACTACACGACGATCCTCCTACATGCTCAGGATTCCGGTACATCGCCGATGTATTGTCACTGCATCACCAAAACTCTATTTTGCTACTTTCAACTTAATTTTTACTTCATTTAGTGATAATTTGTGTGATTCAAATTTACCGAGATATACTTTATTCAATTACGATTCTTTTGGCTTTTATAAATCTTAATTTGATCAATTAAATCATTTGTAATTACTTATGAAGAATCACCAGGTGGAACTCTATTTTTGCTTGATTCGTGCTTACCAGGCATTGACGTCATCATGACGTTGCACCCTTATTTTCCTTTTCGTGAATTTTAAATATATTTTCTTTTTATTTCCTAGTATAAAATTCATAGAAAATAGTATTCTTTGAAAAAAAAATTGAATAATTACAAACTATTATATTACATCCCTGTGATCAACTTAGAAAATTATTGCTATTTTTAGAAGTTTAATTGAATTATAATTGATATATTTATTTATAAATATTTCTAAATATTTAAAAATTCATATTTTCTAGTTTTATAAATTTTAAATTTGTGTGATTTACTATACAACGACTAAGTCACGTCAACAACGATTAGAAATGATTTGATAACCTATTTTATTAATCTCTAAATGATGAATTTGAATTAGAGGTTAAATATGTTGTTGTGAAGCAATCAAGTTCATGTAAATAACATTTATAAAACATCATTCTTCTACTTAGGATAAGGGTCAATCCTCAGAGAGCAGAGGTAATGAGTATATGAATTCTACTTATTTTATTTCTTATATAGATATATATACATGAGATTCTAAAAGGCAGAATTAAATATAAAAGGGTGAAGACAAAAGTTGTGAAAAGCATGACAAAAGAGAGAGAATGAATCTAACACAATAGAATGATAGAATCAATGATAAAACTAGTTTAAATTAAAAGTTAATCTATCCATGAAGAGGATTACAAGGATGCCCCAAATCTAGATCTTGCACAGACCTTGTTGTGCGCTAGTCTTAGGCTGAGTGATGCTTGATCCATGACGATCTTGATGCACTCTAGGTAATCTCTTCTCCACGATGATCTTGGGCACAAAAGTGTTGTTGATCAGGCCTTGATTTTTCTCTTGTTTCCTTTGATTAGCCACTATTAGAGAGAGAGAACCAAAAAGCACCCTCAAAGAGGGGGGCAAGATGTCTTAATCCTTTGAGAGTTAGGCCCCTCCAATGGATAGTTAAGATTAATAACCAACTCTCTTAGTGGACGGCCCAAATCATTCCATGAGGGCAGCACTCTAATCCTTCTCTTAATTTCATCTTAAGGTGCCCTAAGATGGACTGCCTAGATCTTATCTCTTGATAGCCCTTTTAAGTCCAAATGGGTTAGGCCAAAGTGACGCTCTTTCTTGGGCCCATAAACATATTAGGTCAACTCTCTCCATAAGACTTGGGCTTCTTCTATTACTTCTAACTCGTATTAAGAACTCACCTAAGTTCTTACAATCAAATAATTATCAAAAAAATGTGAGAGAATCACCATTTGACTTCATAAAAGTCAAGTGGGGTTAGTCTCATAATATAAATAAAACAACTAAAATAATATGTCTTAGGAGTTAAATAATAAAATATTATAAATATGATAATGAGTTGGAAATACATGTATAATAGTATTATCTACTTAGTAATTAACATCTATATATATGATAGTAATACATTATTCTAACTACTAATTTATAATTATCACTAGACTTCACAGTAAGATTTAGAAATTACCCACGTCATCTTTGTCCAAAGAGAGTCTTCGAGGCCATAGACATTACATGACAATCTTCTTGAATGCTCAAACTTCTAATGCATCAGTGATGCATCGCCGTCACGACGTTAGAACTCTATTTTATCATTTTTTAATGAGTTTAACATTTGTTATTATTTTCTAGACTTCAAAAAGGAGATCCAACAAATACTCAAGTTGTCTATATTTAAGGAGAGCCTTTGAGGTTGTGGACATCATTTGATGATCCTCTCGAACAACAAAATTTTGGCGATTGCTGTTGGGAGGTTGAAACTATGCCTTTCTTATTTTCAACTTAATTTTCACTTTATTTAGAGATAATTTGTGTGATTTAAATTTACTAAACTATTCTTAATTCAAATACGATTCGTCTTGCTTTTACATATCTTAATTTGACCAATTAAATCATTTGTTAATCGGTTACATAAAAATTCTTAGGTGGAACTCTATTTTTACTCGAGTTGGGTTTGTCAGATGTTGATGTCATCCTGATGTCCACACCTCTTATTTTCTTTTCTCATAAATTTAAAATTTATATCATTTAATTTCTTAATCTAAAATTCATAAAAAATATATTATTTAAGAAAAGTTCTAAAATCTTATGTGATATTATATTACATCATTATAATCAACTTGAAAAATTCTTACTATTTTTAAATTTTTTATTAAATTATAAATGATTCTATTTGTTGAAAAATACTTTTTAATATCTAAAAACTAATATTTCTAGTTTTATAAATTTTAAATTTACATGGTTTACTATATAATGACTAAGTCACGTCAATCAAGTTTACGAGTCACTAATGGATTGTTCTGCACTCTAGGTATCGTGGTGGTTCACTAGCCCCAAGATCTAGCTTATTTGGCTTATTGAGCATTGCTAGATCACATCACATCCTAAACGGCTACCCAAACACATGAGAAAATTTAGTCTCACATCGCAATTATTTTAGTGATTGAGCTAGATATATATCAAAATTACAATCTCTCAACACATATCACTTGAAATAAAGTAATACCTAAGATCATCTTGAAAGAAGATAGAAAGACGATCCACCTTCACATGTATATGTGTGTACGATGCTCCTTACTCCACAACTAGTTGACCACCGGGATGTGGCAAGGGAGTGACCCACATGTGTGTGACATGAGTCCTCAACCACTCGAGCCTAGCTCATAGTTACCCCTGGTCTAGGTTTACTCACTCAAGTGCAGCACCCCTATGAGTCAACTATTGAGTGCTAGCTTGCCAACAAATAGTGATATTTTTATATTTTTTTAATAATTGAAAATTAAGTATTTTAACATTAGACTTTTAAAATTAATAATATATTTATATATTTATTCTACAAGTTAATAAAATAAAATAAAATAATAAAACTAATTAAAACATAAAAATCTAACTTTTACAAAATTTCTCTCTCTTTCTTGATTCTATTATGTCTCCATCAACTCTCTTTTTATTTTTTGAACTCTTTTCTTTTTTTTATTACAAGTTAACTCTTTATGAAAGGAGATGAGTCTCTCATTGACTCTCTAGTGTGTGGGTCATCTCAAGAGTATTGAGATGTGGATTAGAAGTATTTGATAGAAGTCTTGTTCTTATTATGATTTATGATGGTTTGATGATTTCTCTTTTATTTGCTCTTACTGATATTAAGAAATTGAGTTTCTACTATTATTATTATATTGTGTTTACATGTTTATTCTTACAGTAAAAAATAATACTTTTTCATAAGAAAGTCACTCAATGTTTATCAAAAAAGATGTTGAACTTATGAATGTTGCAACATAACAAAACTAATTAATAACACTGAAAGAACTCTATATAAGCACCCACCTTAGATCATTGTAAAAGTATAGTTTTTCACACAGGTGCCTGCTAGTGGTTGTGGAAATCAGGCGGTTCCTACGCGGCTGCAAAGTGGAAATTAGGGGGGTCACGGGGTTTCACCTGCCACAAGATATGCGGGCCAGGCGGACCGAAGCGATCCGTGGACCGGAACCTCATTTTGTAGCCGCGTAAAAGGAGGAAACGCCAGACGTCCAGAACCACTGGCAGGAGCCACCTCTCGGGGTTTCCCCGTGAAGACGGAGATTTCTTCCTTTTTCTGCAGGCGCGACGGTGGGCGTGAATGGACCCGAGGCGCCCGTGGTTGGTCCCAAATGGGGTCTCGGTAGCTGCGCCGCGCTCCTCGAATGTGGAGGTCCCCCCAGCACCGCACCACAGAAGCGCGTCCTCCTCGGATGCGGGGGCCCTCCAGGTCGTGGCAGAGCCCGAGAGGATCTTCGGCAAGACCATCCGTGGCCCGCTGAAGAAGACGAGATGGAGGACCCTTTTTCGGACGAGCTGGATGACCGGCGCAGCTATCGAGACCCCATTTGGGACCAACCACGGGCGCCTCGGGTCCCTCCACGCCCCCCGTCGCGCCTGCAGAAAAGAAAAAGGAAGAAATCTCCGTCTTCACTGGGAAGCCCCGAAAGGGTGGCTCCTGCCAGTGGTTGTGGACGTCAGGGGGTTCCGAAAGCCCGTGGACCCCCCCCCCCCGAAGTAGGGTCCAACGTGAAGGGCCGCGGGCAAAATTGGAGGGGCGCGGCGTGGGCTCCGAAGCGGAAGGATCTCCAGTTAGGTTCTGTCTGTGGCTAGCAGAGTTGGGTTAGGTTCATAAAATGCGCCATCCAACATGAAGGTCCCACGGATAAAAAGCAAGAAAATATATTCATTGGATCCCAGTTTATTTAGTGAATAGAAAGACGCCACGAATTCGGCAACTAGACCGTAGGAACTAGCCTACACTCACTTGCAGCCCATCAGCAAGCGGAGACTATCGCTACGAGGGCGCTGAGGTTCTCCGACGAGCTGCCGGCGGGCTGAACCTGCTGGAGCGCCACCGTCCCCAGGGCGCATGCCCTCTCCTTCATCTTCTCCCCCTCCGCTGTCCTGAGGACCACGTGGAGAGCCTTGGCGACCTCGTCCTTGGTCATTGTCTTCTCTGGGAAGGGCACTCCGATCTTCCACGTGTGTGAGATGGCACGCGCGTTGATATGCTGGTCGCCAAGAACGGGGCGACATACCATGGGAACGCCGCCAGAGAGGCTCTCCAGCACGGAGTTCCACCCGCAGTGGGTCACAAAGACCCCGACTGCGGGAGGGATCATAAAGGAGCCGAAGCCGATGTATACCACCTCGCCGTGGGCCTGTCGGTTCAACCACTCCAGGCAGCCGGTGGATTCGCGCGACGCCGGCGGGCATAGGAGGTTGAGCGGTCCCAGAGGGAGACACCTTTTGAACTTGGCATGGAAGTCACTGAGCACAGCGGGGTCAAGACCTTCAAAGGTGTTGATCGCCACTGCGGACGCGCGCGCCAGCTCGAGGGCCATTCTGTGGAGGAGGGGGGTGAAGACAGTTGAGATCGCCGGAGACGATTCCCTCCGGCAAATCGCGGAGGCGCGTGCCGGCCATTCCGGGGAGAAAGCCGAGGTAATCGTCAAGCTTTGATTGCACATCAGAGGCGCCCTGCTTTCCGGCGCCGAAGGTTTCGCGGAGTAAATCAGTGTAGATATGGGCCGACAAGCACCGGGGGCCTCCGATCCACAGCCTCACCCACGGCACCGCCGCCTCGAGCTCCGCCGCTAGGTCCCCGGCGAACCACAGGAAGCAGACGCTTATCACGCAGCTTATCGCCCCGCCAGTACGACGAACCGCCTCTTCCATCCCTTCTCGGAATTTCCCGGGGGTGACCCCGAAGAAGCAGCGGACTTCCTCCTCTGGGTCATTGGGATTGATGACAAAGTCTGCCGGAGTCCCATGGTCCACGTTGAAGAGCTTCAGGTTTGGCGGTGATAGTCGACGGCGGCGAGGATGGCGTTGGACTTGGCGGAGTTGAGGAAGGAGAAGGCGACGCGAGGGGCCGCGGCGGCGATGCGGCAGGCGAGAGCGTGGAGGGGGGCAGCGTGGGTTCCGAAGGGTAAGGCGAGCACGGCCACATGCGGCTGGTGCCCCTTTACTCCGTTACCAGCCTCCATGAATGACCGCGACCGAGGCTCTTACTCCGGCTACTGGAGGGCGGTGGATATGGGAATGAGTAGGTCCTTTCAATAGGCTACTACTTTCAAATGGTAATAAAAGGCTATTAAAGAACTCTATATAAATACACATGATAATTTTTTATTATCATGAGTTAATAATTAATTAATAATATATAATTTTATCTTAACTCATGATAAGTAAACTTATATTTGTGTTAAATTATAAAAAGTAATTTTTTGTTAGTTAATGTAAAATTTTGGCTAATTATGTGACATGTAAATCTATATAATTTTTATAATCTTATTTTTGAGATAAATAATAAAAGTAAAATAAAAAGATAAAAAAAGAGGAGAACTCGCTAGTCAACTGGGCTTGCAAGTAGGTAGGAAGTGTAGTCAAGTAGAGTTGTGAGTAGAGGCTCAAGCAACTAAAGGTAGATGATTAGGAACATATGTGCATCACTCCTCTTCTATGTCACTGATGGTCAGTCAGGCATAGGGTAAGGAGTGGTTGTACACATGCAAAAAAAGGACTCATTAATTTCTAAATCTCATATTACTATATATTCATCTCAATAGTCGACGTATAACCGATGTGTAGTTAAATTAGTAGTCACACCTTTTCTGTAATAGTTTTAATAATTTTAATATCTAAAATATCTTTTATTTATAACAACAACATATCATGATGATGTCACTTTATAAGAGCACTAAAGTACTTATTTCACTATCTCTCATATAGACCATTGACTGACATAAGTTCAAATCCTACTAGAACCAAAACTCATATTTTTCTCTAATTAAATTATAATTTTCTTGTAGATTGTCAATGAAGGATTAAGTTGTTAGAATCACTCAATCATCGGCAAAAATCTCGTCAACGTGATTTGCGGAGCATTATTACTTAAATTACTAAATGATTTTAGATAGAAAGGTCACAAATTTATCGAGTAAATTATCTCTAGTTGATCAATGAATAAGCTGTCATCGGAAAGAGGACGATCTATTAGGAGATGAGTCACTACCTATTGAGAGAATACCAAATGCGATGAAAAGTCACCTCTTATTATATGGACTCGAGGATAAAACTCCCTAAGATGTGTCCTACATGCATCCAATTCATCTTCATTAGGTGATAGTCGCTAGAGAGCCATAAAGTTACTATTTTTTTACATTATCGAGTGATAATCGCTAGAGATGATTCGATGACATATTTCATTGATCTCTAGACTTTGCAAAAAGATTTAGAGATTACTCACAATGTCCTTGTCCAAAAAGAACCTTCAAGATTGTGGACATTACACAACAATCCTCTTAAACACTTAAGATCCTAACGCATCATTGATGCATCATGACTATGACCCCATAACTTTATTTTATTATTATTTTTAACTAGTTTAACTTTCACTATCATTTTCTAGACTTTGAAAGGAGATATAGTGAATGTCTAATGAGTCCATATCTAAAAAGAGCTTTTGAGGATATGGACATTGTTTGATGATTATCTCAAACACATAGAATTCTAATAATCACTATTGTGAGGTCAAAACTCTGTCTTTCTTATTTTCAACATAATTTCTACTTCATTTAGTGACAATTTGTGTCAAGTTTCTTAATTATTCTTCGTTGAATTATGATTCTTTTGGCTTTTACATATCTTTATTTGACCAATTAAATTGTTTGTAATCACTTATGTGAGAATCACTAAGTGAAACTCTATTTCTACTTGATTCACATTCATTGAGTGTTGACATCATCTTGATATCTGCACCCTTATTTAAATTTTTTTAAAATATATTTTCTTTTTATTTTTTAGTATAAAATTTATAAAAAATTATATTCTTTTAAAAAAATTCTAAAATATTACATGTTATTACATCCCTATGATCTACCGAGAAACTTTTTACTATTTTTGAAACTTTTATTAAATTATAATTAATATATTTATTTAAAAATACTTTTAAATATCTTAAAAGTAGTATTTTTTAGTTTTATAAATTTTAAATTTATGTGATTTATTATACAATGACTAAGTCACGTCAACACCTTACATCACTATAAAAATATAGTTTTCTTCATCAATAACATAATCATATCTTTTGCTCTTGTTCTTCTCTATTCTTCTTCTCTTCTTCTTGCTCATTTTGTTTTCTCACATGATGTTAGATCTCATAGACAAGAATCTATGACAGTTGAAACAAGAATCGCTTACTCCTCTTCCTCTATGCAAAATACAATGTCATCTGCCACAATGCCTTTATTACTAGTAATGCTCACGAACAAGAATTATCTTTTATGAAAAACATAATTTGTTGCCCTTCTCAAAAGTCAAGGGCTTCTTCATATCATTGATGACTCAAATAAGCCATCTCCTACCATCAAGAATGGAAATGAAGGTCTTGAAAGTAATCTCAATTTCATTCAATGAAAATCGTCATGATCAATCAATATTTTCTTGGATCTTGTCTTCCCTCACATAAGCCAATTATCCAATTATTATCAGACACCATACAACAAAAGACACCTAAGATGCATTAGCTCATGAGTTCACATCCAAAACAAGATCCCACATCCTTCAACTACATGCACAATTACATGTTGTGTAATGTAAGACAACATCAATACAAGAATATATACATCTCTGATGAATTGCCAACAAACTTGCAGCAATTGGACACCCAATCAATGATCAGGATTTTATCATGATAATCCGCATGGGCCTGGGTTCCAATTACCAAGCATTTACTATAAGCATTGTGAATAGAATGGACATCCTTTCTTTAGAAGATGTACTTATCTCACTACACACGAAGCAATGGCAGCTCCAACTATGCTCAAGCCAACCATTCTCAAGGATGCAATTTTGGAAACAAAGGAAGAAATTACAACAACTTCAATAATGCAAGGGGATACAGAAGAGGATGCATGTTTCAATGTCAAATTTGTTTATAATTCAGCCACTGCATACATGAATGTTGAGAATGATTGAATCGTGATTTTACCAGTGTAATCATGTAGCATCAATCTTTGCCATATCAGTAGTCAACCAAAGGTGAATCATTTCATACTTATTGATAAGTTTTCATTATCATGAGTTAATAATTAGTAAATAATGTAGTTTTAGCCTTAACTCATGATAAATAGACTTATATTTATGTTAAAGTGTGGAAAGTGGTTTTCAATTGATTAATATGAATTTTTGGGTAATTATATGATTTTACATGATTTTATATGATTTTTATAATCTTGCTTTTGAGATAAATAAAGAAAAAGAAATAAAAAATACAAATAAGACAAAATGAGGAAGACCTACTAGCCAATTGAGCTTGCAAGCAGGTCAGAAGCTCAGTTGGGGAGTAGCTGCGAGTAAGGGCTCAAGCGGCTTGGACCAATAGGGGCACGTGTGTGCCACTCCCCTTCCATGTTATTGGTGGCTAGTTGGCTGTGGGGCAAAGAGTAGTTGTACACGTGAGAGAAGAGACTTGCTTAGGAATGAAACATTAGTATATATTCACCTGAAAAATTAGTGCACAACCGATGTGGGACTAAACCTGTGTCACCTTCCCCAGAAAGGGCAAGCAACTGACATGGGTTTGAATCCTCCCAAAGTCAAAAATCATTTATTTTTATTTGGTTATCACGACTTTCCTGTAGATTGCTGGTGAAAGATTAAGCAACGAGAATTGCTAGATCATTGGCAAAAATCTCGTCAATGCAATTCGCAGAGCATTGCTACTAAAATTGTTGAACGATTCGCGATAAAAGGATTGTAAATCTATCGAGTAAATTATCTCTGATTGATCAACGAACAAGTCGTCGTCAGGAAGAGGATGATCCGTCAAGACACAAGTTGTCACTTCCTGAGAGCATATCAGATGCAATGAAGAGCCTCCTCTTGCTACACGGACCTAAGGATGAAGCTCCTTGACACACGCCCCACTTCCATCTAGCTCCTCTCCGTCGGGTGACAACTACCGAAGAGCCATAAAGTCATCATTTTTTTGCTCCGCCAGGTGACAGCTGTTGGAGATGATTTGACAACTCATTTTATTAATCTCTAGACTTCTCAAGGAGATCTAGAGGTTGCCCACGTCATCTTTGTCCAAGGAGAGCCTTCGAGGCTGTGGACA